TTTTTAGACCAAACATATCATGGCTCCACCATCAATGATAACAGATCACTGTTAGCTCGCTCAGGGAAGCACCCTTTCACTGAGTAATACTCAACCTGGTTTCGGTACATTTTACTCTGAAGAAAAGCTTTTCTCAACAAGTAATTTTGTGAACTAAAATTCAAAAAGAGCATGCTACACCGTCTTAACTACATTAACACTATGGATTGTGTGATAAACGATATTAATGGCGTAAATGAAGCGATTTACTGTGGCTATATGGCCGGAAACAGGTCAAGGTTTTCAAAACACTAAATGACCGGCAGTCCTGTCTTTTCAGTAAATTTCACAAATTCCAAAAAAATCCAGCTAAACCAAACTATCATATGTCGATTAAGAAAAGTCAAGCGATCCTGAAATGCTCTATATATCTCAAGGATAGCATTTGGTTTACGCCGGGCTCAGAGGATCTCAGAAGACGAAACCATGTTTTGTGACACTTAAAACGTTTTTCAGCTCGACTGCCGGTCAAAGTTTTCAAAACACTAAATGACCGGCAGTCCTATATTCTCCGTGAATTTCACAGATCGAAATAATTCAGCTAAACCAAACTATCATATGTCGATTAAGAAAAGTCAAGCGAAATGTACTGTGAATATAGGACTGCCGGTCATTTAGTGTTTTCAACACCTTGACCGGCAGTCGAGCTGAAAAAAGTTCTAAGTGTCACAAAACATGGTTTCCTTTTCTGAGCCCAGCGTAAACCAAACGAAAGACTGACTTTCCTTTATCGACATATAACAGTTTAAAAACCTTGACCGGCAGTCAAGGTTAAAAAACTGAGTTCCAAGTGTCATAAAACATGGTTTCGTCTTCTGAGCCCAGCGTAAACCAAACGCTAAACTTGAGATATATAAAGTATTTCAGGATCGCTTGACTTTTCTTAATTGAAATATGATAATTTAGATTAGCTGGGATTTTTCGATTTTGTGAAATTTACTGAGAATATACGACTGCAGGCCATTTAGTGTTTTGAAAACTTTGACCGGTTACTGGCCATATAGCCACAATGTTGAAAACCTGTCCACGAACCACATATGGTCGGTTGTCTTAATCATGATAAACGTTCAGGTAGCTTATGATACAACTGTGTCAGTTGGTTTAACTTTGAGACTGTCTGTCTGTAAAGTTCTGCTATACCACTCCTGGTCATTATTCAGCTAGCTTGCACAAAAGCAAAAAGTTGTAGTAATTTTTTTACCCACCCTCCCTCCCTTTGGAGGAGTTGTGTTGTGTTTTGTGTCAATAAAAGTCTGGCAGGTCACTCCTTGTGGTGCGGTTAAGTCTGGTTGTGACTTCCCCCAAGCTTTTGCAATTGCTTGTGTCTTGCCATCTTAATCCTTTGCCTTAATCTGCTCTGATCCAGCCCATACGGTTCTGGGGAGATAAGAGAGGCTCTGCCAATACTCTTGTCTCTTACCCCACCGTAGTGGGGTGATAAGTGAGGCTTGTGCTATTTTTTGCGCATAACTGGAAGTCGCTATAACCTGCCACAGGGCTGTGTCCCCCCTTGTTATGCCATCTTGTAGTTAGAATAATCATAATAATGATAAGAACTTGACTGCATAACACAATTACAGGAAATTCCAGCAGTTTTCATTGTGGTCCATTTGTTGTTGTTTTTTTTTTAGCCTGTGTGCATTATTTAGTTGCATGACTTTTGCATACATATCTTAATCAAAATAGTAATAATTTTGTAGTTTTCAATGTTATTTCTTGCATAGGAAGATCCCACAGTAAACCAGCAACCAGCAAATGAAGGAGACAATACAGCAACTACTGGTAAATATATATGTCAAATAATTTGTTGCCAACGAGCAGCCTCGCGTCTTTGCTAGGCGGTAGCACAAAGCTGTGTGCGAAAGTTTCAAGGTGGAATGAATCTCGAAGCGATGTGACATAAGGTAGTGTAAGGTAACTTTTATGATGTAATGCAGAGCAGAGAATGCATTGTTTTCGGCAAACGAGCGAGTACGCGTATATAGATAAAATCTTTGCTTATTAGCACTTAGTGATAGCTATAACTAGTATTATATGTTTCACTGTTGCATTCTCAGTTTTATTATGGAAAGTCACTCCCTGGGGCTAAGAGAAGATATGAATTTCCAATTTTTCAACATATTGTTCCTTCCCCTCCACATTTTCTTTTAAATTCCTTGTTTCCTGTCTTATACCCCTACCCCAATCCCCACACCAGTCTGTAAAAACCATACTGTATCATCTTGATCATGTGTTCTATTTTTCTATGAAGGAACTTCATTGGGATGGAAAGATCTGGCCGTGGGTGTAGCAGTTGGCACTGCCGCTGTTGCAGCAACTCCAGTGGTCCTTAGTGCTGCTGGCTTTACCGCTGGGGGGATCGCTGTTGGTTCTGCTGCAGCATCTGTGCAGTCAGTGCTTTATGGATCAACAGTGGCTTCTGGAAGTATATTCGCAGCATTGCAGAGTGCAGGGGTGGCTG